CATCAATGCGAGAGCTTACTACTCTTTCAAGTGTTTTCGATACAAACGATAAATTTGAAACAGGTCGATAGTTTTTTAAAATGTTTTGATCCAATGTTGGTTTTTTCAGAAGGGGTTTAACATAAGACCTTTTAAACTCTGCGGGAACATTTCCTGTACTGAGAGAGATGTTGATAATGTTAGAAAGAAATGGTAAAAGTTCATCAAGGCACGATTTTAATAGCCATGTTGGTATAGGATCCAGTTCACATGATTTATTTGAAGAACTATTTATTATTTTAGCCATGTTGGTATAGGATCCAGTTCACATGATTTATTTGAAGAACTATTTATATATTTTTATATATATAACATATGTGTATAAGTTTCCTCAATAATTGAATACAGTATATCTACAATGTATACATTTTTTTTTCAAAGTACAAAAGAAAAATAACATTCACTGTAGTACATTTTAGATATTTCAGGTAGTTATGGCAAAATGCCCTTAACTTATGTGATAAGTTTAGTATATTACAATGCAGCATGCAATTTTTACTAAAATGTTTGGCAAGTAACAATTACTAGTTGTAACGCATTAAGAGATTTCTCTGGATGAGCAGTTTCAGAAATTATTTGTTCTTGAACAATTGTAGTAAGTACTTAAAAATAATTCAAGTATGTTACAATTTTATTTTTTATTACAATAACTGCTACCGTGTAAACAAAAAGGGGTGAGTTGAGTTATGATGGTTTTAATCACAACTAAATGATACAATCAGTATATAGCAATTTCAAGAGGAAATGGTTGTTACCTCGCTATGCTCTATCAATTCGAAATTTTGTTCATTCACTGACAGAATCTGAAACATAATATTATAAATGAGATAATATAATAAATTGTTGTATATTAATCAAATATCTTGGTAAATGTCACATTGTTGAATATCAATACAAGATCATGAATGTTTATTGTATTGTATTGAATGTACTGTACTGTATTGTATTGTATTAACTGTACTGTACTGTATAGTATTAAATGAACTGTATTGTATTATGCTGTACTGTATTGTATTGTATTGATTGTATTGTGCTGTACTGTATTGTATTGTCTGTCCTGTATTGTTTTGTTTGTTTGTTTGTTTTGGGTTTTACGTCACATCGACACAGTATAGGTCATATCGCGACGTTCCAGCTTAACTGGTGGAGGAAGACCTCAGGTGCCCTTCCGTGCATTATTTCAGGCACGAACGGGTACCTGAGTAGAACCACCGATGTTCCGTAAGCTAGCTGGATAGCTTATTATTATTATTTTTTTTATTAATATAGAAACGGCAAAAGCCGTCCCTCCATATGGCAAATACGCCGAAAATAATAGGGACGGCATATGCCGTCCCTATGGCAGTGAAAGGGTTAAAAGTTAGATGTTACCTTAGATATGTAGATACCACAGTTGTGTTCCTTTCCTCCTCTGATATTAAAACCAAGCTGTAAAAAACACAGGCAAGTCTTATTCAATATTTGATACTACATTACTAAAATGTTTATCAATAATTCAGATTTGTTAAAATTACTTATTCAGTGAAAGTTCAAAATAAAAATTATGTGAACTGAAAATCTTAAAGAATGAATTATAAAGGTGTGGAAACAATGGTAACAGGTGGGAGTCTATGATATCTACTAGTATTAATTAGAGATGTTATTGATTCAGTGCAATACATCCATATCGGATGAAAATAGCCACGATTTCCGGAAAAGAATATTGTCAGTTTCTACCGCTTAGTACATGAGTTCAGTACAAGTGCAGAGTATAGAATGAGTTGTTTTATGTTATTTCATGGAGAGGATTTCACAGATAATCACATGATAGTTTGCTACAACTTAATAGAAGCTGTTAGGTTGTTCTATTTAAAGCAAAAGGTTGATTTGTTGAAAATTAGCAGCAGTTTTATTACAAAAAGGCATGTGACAGACGCATCCAGAGCTCGTGTACGGTATGTTGCAGGCTATTGTTTAGCATCTCTCAGAAAAAAGTTTGTTAAAATTCAAAAAAGCAATTTATGTTCTACCAGCAAGGTAGGTCAGGACATGTATATTGAAGCCAAATGGGTAAATTACATTCTTAACATCCTCAGGGAAGATGAACATTATTTGAAAGCTCACACTGAAGAGCCAGATTCATTACTTGATATTGAAAGGAAGCAGTATGCATCAAGGGGCTTAACAAATGTAACTGACAGACTGTTTAAATTCTTTGTTTGTCTCACTGAAAAGAGTCTGCAACTCCTCATTCATGAAAATCTTATGAAATATGGAAAGGAAATATATAATAAGTGTTTAGAATTTATTTTAAATGAACAACCTTTATATGAACAGTTTGCTAATGTTGTTGTAACAAGTTGTTCTGAACAGCACATTGTAGAGTTTGATGAAAATTCAGATATAATTAGTGTGATGGAAAAAATTGTGTGGATTTCATCTAAGATTTGCAGTATATATGATGAACTTGTTGAAAAATACCTTATGGTGCTACTGTCTCAGTTTCGGAAAGACATTAAGTCTGCATATAGGGTGGAAAAAACTATGGCTCATCGTAAGCAGATTAAGGTGACAAAGCCAAAGCAAACTGCTTGTGAATCATCATCCAATAAATGTAAAAAAGTCACCAAAACATCTGTTGTGCACAATGTTCCAAAAGAGACAGATTCATCAGATGCAATTGTGGCTGAACCAGGCCCGTCCTTGGAGCCCCAGGCCAGTATGTCTGAAGAACCTGAGCCTGGGCCATCTGGACTTCAAGCTGGATCATCTTCAGACACTGAAGATACCACTGACTTATGTCACTTCTGCTTTATTGACAAAGATGATGAATGGATACAATGTGATTCGTGTAACAATTGGTATCATAGAAAGTGTGCAGGGTTAAAAACTGCAAAAATTTGGAAAAAATTCATTAAAGAGGGAGTTTCATGGTACTGCAAATCCTGCAAATGAGCAGATTTTTTTATATTATGTCAGCAAAACCGGATAGTTTATGAAAGAAATACAGGTGATATAACTTTTAACTGTAAAAGTCATAATTGGACCAACATGTGTCAAGCATTCCATGCTTTAATTTACTGCCGTAACTGCATAACAACCCCCTTTGGACACAATCGTTATTTTTCGTTGTATTACAGTACAGACAATTTGAAGCTAAAGGCGTTTTATTTGATAAAACAATGTGCATGTTTTATAGAAGTACATTTTTTATAGATATGGCATATAACTATTACCAATTGACGCTCATTTTCCTTGAGAAAACGGCGAAATAATTGCTAGGGAATGAAAATGTGAAAATATTTTAAAATTTCCGCGCAAAACACACAATGTTTACATTTAACTTTTACCCAGCTTTTTACTTACCGATAACGAGAAACCGGGTCCACCAACATCCGATGCATCGGCCAATCAGAACTCTCGTAGTATAATGCTTCTATCCTTAATCACGTGACAAGCGAGGGTACCCGAATGGAAGTTCTCGGAGAAAAGTTAGAAAGTGAAAGAAAATAAACGTTATATGGACGTATGTCGAATAAGTTACAGGTAATTATACATGCATGTTTTGCAAAATAGTATTTGTTATTGAATTCAAGCCATTGCTTCCCGTGTTCATTGTTGTAAATGTTTTTTTACGGGATAAATCACGTTGTTTATAATGTTGCGACTTCTCGGTGGACTAAGCAAGAAAGTCGTTTTCGGCTAGATTTGTGTTCGGCAGGTTACTATATGCATGGTAAAAGGGACAAGTTGCTATTATTTATTGAAAGTACCATAAGTATGCTACATGTACACGTAAAAAATATAGAATTTGCTTGAAAAATGGAAAAGTAATTCGCTTCTCATTGAGCTTGGGGCGAAAATTGCGTTTTTTGGAGTTGGAACCCTTGTCTATATATAAGGATTGTCACCTGTTTTTATGGTCTGGACCTAGTTTTGGTCACAAATAACCCCAATATAGAGTCTAGGCACCGTTACAACCCCCTTTGGAGCTAATAATGACTTTCATTTTTCTTTAAGTTTAATAATAAATATTCCCCAGTTTTAAATTCCCTTTTGAATAGTCTGTATGTTCTTCATTTTGGTATGTACTTCAATATAATGCATTTTATTCTATGAAATGTAATGTAATGTAAAGTATATATAATGGGAATGAAAACGACACATTGACTTGAAAACAAATTTCAATGAGCGAATTACTTTTCTGAACTATCTGCTATGTACCTTATCAAAAGAAGGTTAAAATATCAGAAATATGTATCATGATTTCAAAAATCTGAAAAATAAAGTATCTCTGATGATGTAGTTCTGCTCAAGTCCGAATCGATGTAAACTTTTACATAAGAAAATCTTTCTCAATGAATAAACGGAATGCTTTTCAAAACGTTTCTGCTAGTTAAGAATTTCTTAAAATGAGCCAGACTTCAAATATATGCTCAAGTTTTATTTACATATTCTCTGTTTGCATACATATAAATACAAAAGATACATGTCAATTACTTTACATACAATTAGTCACTTGATGATAGAGTTTGAGCATATGCAAAAATAATAGCCATAGCAAAGGCATGATTTGAAGCAAAATTCAAAAGCATCGAGTGTTTCACTCAATTCGGTAGGACATAAAAGCATTTCCTATAGAAATTAATGCTTCTGTTGCACATGAAGCATCCGTAACCTACTCTTTTCAAATACATTATTCTATATTCAATAGTATATATTCTACGTTTTACTTTGACTCTCATCAAATAAATACTATTCTTGTTTTAACGTATTAATAGGGGCTTTTTAATCGATATTTATTTAATCAAATTTGTTTAAGTCTCTTATTCCTATACATATCAACAACAACAACAAAATAACTCAAAATTCAATTGCTGCTGTATGTATTGAAATACATTATTTTTGGAGATATTGTACACAATGACAAAATTGCACGACATGATACAACAATTTTGGAGTAAGAACAACTACATGCCCTATTGAGTTCAAATAATTTATTTTCTATATCTCTAACTAAACTAATATAGCAGATACTTGAATATTTCTCAGTTGTACATTTACATTTACAAATACCACAATTTGTTTTTGTTTGCTTAATTGTTTTAGATAAACACAACTTGGCAACACAAATTTGTTGATGAAACTGTAGATAGTAACTATGGTGAAGGCGTTTTTACTGACTGGGCGGCTATCATAGCGTTAAAAAACGAGTTTGTATTAGTAAGCAAGTCTTGCGGTGATGCACATTCCATTACCTGAAAAATATCATAATAATTCATATTAATTTTATCAAAAACTGTCTTTTATTATCAAAATGAACTTTTCTTAGTCAAAAACATTGTAATCTATTTTCCCAAATGTACATTAATCTGAAATAGGTATGGCCACTCAAATGTTTAGATGATATAAAATGCGCTTTGTACAAATACCTGACAAATTTTTGACAAAAGTATTCAAAAACAAAAACAAATGCCCATTCAAATCATTAAACTAAGATGTTTTCCATTGAACATGCTATCCTATATTGTAGTATATTTGAAAAAAAGAATCACTATTGAAAGACTGAGAAGTGAGAAGTAAGTAGTACAAAAAAAATCTTTGACTTAAACAATATCGTCTTTTTATCGTTGCTTCTCAAAAAAAACGTCCTATATAGAAGAAGAACGTGAAATATAACAAATCAAGCTAAACTACATGTAAAATCAGTATACTTGTCCTGAATCAAGAACTATAATTTTGTCGCTGTGTAACACCGTATTGAGCCGATGTGCTATAGTTATAACCGTACAATCTGAGAAACATTCTCGGATAGTTTCTTGTATCATTGCATCTGTAGATGTGTCAATGTTGGCTGTAGCTTCATCTAGAAGCAGAATCTGTGGACAAAATATTCAAGCGTTCACTATTAACTTATAAAATATATCTTCCACTTTTTGTTAAACGAATGTTAATCTCTTCCTTCTCTTTGAAATGCAATAATAATATATATTTAATTTTGAAATTGCATAAATACTTGTAGTATTTTGATAAAGTACATGTTTAAAAGATTAAAATAGCCTTTGAGTAAATCGTCTAAAGGGGATTTGTAGTCCTAAAGGACTACCTATGTTATAACATAGGTATATATGTATGCTATGCATGTATGCTAAACACTTTTAAATGTTGTTTGTTTGTTTTTTGTACCCGTTTAGTGGATTTATATTCATTTAAATTTGACTTCGATTAATATTAATCCCTATCGAAAGTCCTTCATTGACTGACAATATGGTTGTGAACCCTGTAGGGTTTAAACTTAAAATCCTTGGCTGAGAACCAGAGTTATTTATCAGACTAATTTTACAAATATGTCACACATTCCTTTAATTATAACCTTAAAAGATACATATTTTGTACATTCCACTGACCTTACTACTACGCATAACCGCTCGAGCTAAACAAATTAACTGACGTTCGCCAACTGAGAAATTTTCTCCATTCTCGTCAACCATTACTTCCAACCCTTCATCAAACTGTAAAATCTAGAAAAACAATTTATCATGAAAATGTGAATACAAGACATTTATAAGTATATCTTTACAAAATTTGTATTTCATGCAGTTATTTTATGTTAAAGTTCCAAATCAAAGTTACTGAGCAACAATCTGTACATCATATCTGCACATGACATGCACGTTAGTGCAAGATGTGTTCTCTTTTTTTGGTTGAATCAAAGCAAAGAAAATGTATATAGTAACGAACGACCAGTGAAAACAATTTTACTTCATGAATTCCCGATATCCACGATTCTAACTTCGTGAAGTCCCGATTCCAAGTTCATGAATACAAAATTTCAACCACACGATTTCACGAATTCAACTTTATGACTTTTATTTTTTAACTTCAAGATTTAATCTCTACGAATTCATGATTTCAAGTTAATAAATTAACGATTTAAAGTTCATGCAATTGAAAACGACTGGTTCAACACGTGAAGTTAAAATCTTCCTGATGCTGAAATCGTCAATTCACGAAGCTTAAACCGTTGGGTTCAAAACGAGAATTCATGAACTTGGAATCGGGAGTGCAAGAAGTTGAAAAGTCCACACCGTTTTTTCGTACAATATCTTAAAATGCCAATACTTAAAGGTTTTTTAATACTCCAGTGTTCTAAATCTATAAATTGGTTGAACTGTTTCTTTTTTTAATCATATTTTCATAGATATCAGTATCATCGAAATGTATCATACTGCACAGTTAAAATATACATTATATCAACTTGGATTGCTTTACTTTACAGTTATAAGAAAGAGGTCTAACATCAGCAATTTCTTTTTTTTTAAATATTTACTAAGCTAATATCAAACCTTTTCTTTAATGTGTACTTTGTCTAGTGCTTCCCAAATACTGTCGTCTGAGTATTTAGAAAATGGATCAATGTTGTACCTTAAAAAAAGCAAATTTGTTGAAAATCAAATCTTAAAATATGTCACAGACATATCTAATATTATCTAAAGCATCTGTTTCATTCTGTATTTCATAATTATCTTTAAATGTTATTTAACATATTTGATGTTTTACAACTTGTAGCTTAATCAATACTCACTTTATGATGACATTGTTTAAACAATTTCAAAATACTTGAACACAATGGCATATGACAGCTGCAACTATATACAATCAGTAGCACATTCGAAGTTAACATTTTACTTTTTCATTTTTATTATCTTGTTGTATTGTATACCAATTTCTTTCTCTGTTTATGATATCGGTATATAATCCTACCTAATGGTTCCAGCAAAAAGAACTGGTTCCTGAGTTATTGTGGATATTTTAGATCGTATAATGCTTAGATGAAGTTTTGATATATCCTCCCCATCAATACAAATACTACCACCTCCGACCTCGACAAGGCGAAATAATGCGGCAGCTAAAGACGATTTCCCTAAAAATGAACATGTACTTAATAATGTAAACGTAGGACTAATGGTCTCAGTTAAAGTCGTTCACTGACAATTCATATTAACCCCTGGACAATGGGCAATCGGAATGTTTCAATCGATCTCTCTGGTAAACCACTCACTCCGCTGAATGTTATGGAGCCACGGATTATCCGCCTTCTACGATATACCATTTACATCTGGTAGGTTAGAAGTGACTTTGTAATGAAAATCTACTTTGTATCATTTTGATATAACATTTTTTATTCTGCCATGTCTGCGAATTATTCAACAAGCTTTAAGCATACAGAAAAGTTGCCTTTTTATTCACTGGTATTTATTCTTACAAGATGCGTAAATGTATTTTCAAATAATGAAATTCCGCCAGAGAGAATACTTTTACACAATTTTACCTCTTAAATATATATCAATCATTATATCTTTTTGTTGTATGAAATATATTTTTGTTGTATAAAATCAGACATTACCTGCACCAGTGCGACCAACGATACCGACTTTCTCCTTCGGTTTTATATCGAAACTGACACTGCGCAAGACCGGATTCATATCAGGTCGATACTTCATGATGACATCTTTAAACGATACAGAACCCTTACTTGGCCATTCTTTATCTGGTATCTTCTCGGCACTTTGTGGTTCCGATATTAGAGACTGATGTAACAGTAAAATAGTTTAATCGATAAAATTAAGAATAAACAATTGCAATATATTTATTAGAGTTGGTAAATTGTAGAGATCGCTAGTTCTAAATTAAAGTTCATTCTATTGTTACATAATGCGTAAAGGAGGATATCAGCCATATCTGTATTTATGTTTTAAACTAAGGGGAAAATAAGAAACTACATGTAGTATAAATCAGTATGTTTTATAATACTTTATATTCAAACTATTATATATTGATTCAACTTATATATTAAATACTCACAGTATTGTATTCATGAAGTCTTTCTATTGACGTAAACCTGGCCTCTGTCTCATTCATCATACGAACCAAAAATTGGATGATACTCACTGTCTAATTGTTAAACAAAGATACAGCTTATAATATAATTCAGTTTGACACTTATTTAATTAATAATAAAAATATTGAAAGCTTAAAGTTTAAAAGCAAAGTTGAAATTTTAAGCTCCATCATAAAACAAGTTCTCGCAACTTATTTTTATTTACTTGTGAGTCAACTTGAACTAATTAATACTGGTTCCATATGAGGAAACATGACCGTGACCCAAGTAAGGCTTGAACCCATAAACCAATGAATGTGAGATAGTTACTGTAACCACTGAGTTACCGTTACCCCTTCACATGAAGACTATAATATAAGATGTAGTAATACAATATAAGCTTGTTTACCTTTCCACATAACCCGAGAACAAGACCTGCAGATGCTGGAGGAATCATCCCCTTTGTGACCATAAATATAAGGCTGGTAGATACAGTTACCATAGCTGCCATGATGTCAAGCCGGAGTCCGATCCATCTCATGCTCGCCTCAAATAAGAATATGGACATAGAAGCAACATCGCCTACTCCAGTACACCTGCATTTTATTTGAGAAAGACGAGAAATAAGCATATTTTGAATGAGTTTAGTGCACAGTTGGTCAACCATTAATATTTAGCTACAGTTGCGGGAAGGTGGTTCTTGAACGTGCTCGGCTTGGTGATATCATTGCAAATATTTGATCGCTGTGCCCTGCAATCTCCAACAAGGATTATCTTTTCCACTATAGTATCGCATATACTTAATGGATAGATGGTCATTAAGAACCGGAAACTGTTACTTATATTTGAAGCTTTTGGGTGAGAAGCTTGTATGACGTTTTTAAAAAAAAACTATATGAAGAGTTGTTTAAGCCATGGCCAAAATTAAATTTGTAAATAATCAAATGTTACTGATACAACCTAGAGAGTCTTAATTGACTAAGTTACTATGAAAATATATCTGGGCAAAAACAGGACAGTCAAACGATCGAAGTGGTAACTGTATAATACTAACATTTGTTAAGGAGCATAAAAACGAAACGTAAGTTATGATGATTTTCTTGATTGAATCGAAGCAAACGCGTACCTGTCAAAGAAACGTTCTTGTTGTCGGTAGGCAACGATCGTTGATAATCCCTGTGACGTCACATTAACGTGACTTATAAGAGGTGATCTTGAGATATTTTCTAACCGTTTCAACTGTCGTACTGATACCGTCGATATTTGTTTCATGATATAAAATACAATGACCACAGGTACAATAGCTATCAAAATCCATGGTATTATATAGGCTGCCATTGCAACAGATAGTATAACTAATGAAAGTATCTGTAGTAACGTGTTGGTAAATTGTGGTATGAATACATCACCTACAAAGATATAGAAACGGAAAAACATGCATGTTAGGAATTATTTTTTTTTTAAGTTCAGGGCAGAAAGTCAGGGTAGATAAAGCTCAGACACATCTAAACTACATGGTCAAATGCATGTGATACCTTTAGAGAGCTTAGACAGACGTGTTAATCCTGTCTCATTCTTAAGCATACTTGATTGTTCAAGTCCCCAAGTAAAGCTATATGTCAAGAAATACATATACGTTGAGACTGGGATGTAGCAATGATGTGGTCAATGAAAAGGACATATATTGTTTATGTAATAGATACTACCGGTTTCTTCGCAGCTTTGAATTGATGTAATTTGCATGCAAAGTGATTGAAATTTACTTGATATCTCCAAAAATGCACAAGCTACGTCGTTACTTACTGTAAAAAACTTACTTCAGGTGCATTAACCAATTTGAAGGCAAAAAAAAACAAGTATAACTCATAGCGAAAAGGACAAAAAGGTAATATGCATAATAAACTTACTTTCTACAAAGAGGACAAAAATACATTCGTATAATTTTACGATTTTGAAAGTAAATATATATATATATATATATATATTAGATCAGTATTCATATTTGAAATACCTTCGTCAAGATCTTTAGAGAACCGATTTAGAATTCTACCGACTGGGTTGGAATCAAAAAAGGACATTGGAGCTTTAACCACTTTGTCCAGACATATTTCATGAAGTTTATTTGACGCCGTTATAGCCGTCTGAAATAAAAACGATAATATATGGTATCTTATTTAGGCTTTAGTGTTCTAACAAGGCATATATACCATGAAGCACACCAGAAGAGTCCAGCACATAAGTTACGTCATTCCGGATAACAGATACATACTTTATACTGACTTTCTGTATGAAGCAAATATGCACAGGTATTTAATAAAACGTTTCAATATTCCATTCATTTCCGCGTCTCTAAAACATACATGTATGTAACGGTCACTTGTTTTGCAAATAGAAATCTTATATATGTATATAAGTTATGTGTTAAAAGTGTGAGTAAATGTTAATTAGTTGCTCGCTCGGATAAGACCAAATTTACCTAAAGATCACCAGGGAATTGTTCATTGCCAAGTCCCGAAGCTCAAGATATATGCATGTTATATAGGACTTTGTACATACGATAGAAATACAACATTTTATTTTTAAGTTAAGAATACGATTTATACAAAGTGTTCACCTTTGCTGCGATGAAACTTTTGAAGAGCTGTAGAAATATGATGCCGGCCAAGGAGGCAATATATACAGTAAAGTAAGTGTCATAACTGATCGGATCGCTTGACATGTCTGCTGGGTATTCACTTTTGTTAGCGTTAGACAATAATATGGAAGATGTTGAAACATCTGTTGATGTCATTAACGTGGTATTATCACTTGCTATGCCACTTTCATTGCCAGAGCTCTGAAAAATATGACAACTTACTTAATATTGTTTTCTTATGGTTAGTAATTAGACATTAATCTAGTTAAAAAGATAATTCAAAAGTAAGGGATTACGTACACTTGTAAGTGATGTTATCCATTGACTTAGCCACCAATCACTAAATACGAGTGACCCAGCTGATATAAAGAATGACAAAATCACAAGGAAAGCCACCAACCAGCCCCCTGCAGCACGAATGTATGCCAAGTATGTCCCAAACCCGATGTCACCAATTGCCGCCTCTTCAGCCAATACAAGCTTTCCTTTCAAAACAAACCATTAAAATGGCATAAATACTTTCAAGTAATGAATTGAAAGCGGAAATATTAAGCACTATACAAAATATATCGTTAAAAAGGTTTTTGAAATTAAATTCAAGAATAAACATCAATGCCAGAGTGATGGGATATGAATGACCTGAATAGTTTTAATAATCCTATAGAATTAAAGGACGGTAGACAATTATAATGAGTGAAGCATCAGGTTAACAATCTGCTAAGCTATGGTAAGGACATTCGGACTTGATAGATGAGAAGTTGGACTCTGTGCAATGAAGAGCCGGGAAATTGTGTATTCATTTAATGAACGGAGAAGCCGGATTTCCATGACGCAAATGCGTGTACAATGACTTTTCGCATATGATATGGTATGGTAAGATAAAATTAAAGTCCTTTTGATTAGTTTCATCATTTAGTCTTTTTAGTTTGATTTAATAATAAGACATAATCTAGTTAAAATGATAATCTTTATTTAAATTTTATTTTAAAGAGAATAGGGGGGTTAAAATGTTTTATAAAAGATAATTTAATTAAAAACTAAAT